AGTCTTCAAATGGCTTCAGAAGACATGGTATATTGAACACAAGTATTAGTTTTATGGTGCTTTTTATCATTTTTACAATGCATTTTGGATTTTGACAGCCTCTGGCCACTGTAAGCTTTCACTGTATGGGAAAAAGGAGTATCAACATGCTGCTAATATTCCCCTTTTGTAACTCACACATATAAAAACCTGCCTTGCCTTCATTAATAATGTCTGTCTTGGTTATATAAATGTATTTTTCACTAAAACAGCCTTTAAACTTGTATGAACAACCTATGAACAAGTCCAAAAGGAGTAAGTAACTCCTCTACATGACAGAATAATTACAATGACACTGGTTACTAGTGACAAGCGCTGGTTGATTTCCACAGGGGTCCACTGGACTGAAACCGCACTGGTGACACAAAGCTGAGGGGGCCTATCTGAGGAGGGGTCCATCTCGATGAAAGGCTCCTACTACAATCACAAGCCACTCTCATTAGCATAATGCAAAACGAACACTGACGCAGATTATAAACGCTATCCATTAGACATCAAAAGTGATTATGCTAATGAACAATGTTCTTAACACAAAAGCCGTCATGTGTCATGTGGGCCGTCAAGTGCAGAAGCCGATAATCAAAGATATGTAATACGATAGTGTAAGGTGATATAACGGAGCGCATGAATTAAACAAACAGCTGAAGCTAGTGCTTTAAACAATCAGTGAGCCTTTTTTACTTAATCACATGCCATAAACACTCATAATCAGGGATGTATCAGCTGCTACTGAAGGGCTTTGCAGTATAATAAAAGTGTCTCTGAAATTGCGGTGGACCTTGTCACTGCACGGATAATTATGAGCCGCTATTGTAAAGAAAATCTGAGTTATATACACAGCAGAGGTCTGTGATGGGCCAAGCAGGAGGGCTTTCCTGTCCGCCTGTTCCTAACCTAGTTCAAAGCCTTCTACTGATCAAATACAAACAGGCCAGTGAAGACGGGCTTAAGCTAATTGGTTTTATTAGACAGGGGATTAGGACAAAAATAGTCACACACTTGTGCTTAGTGTGACAGGGCAAAGCTTACCAAACAAGATCTGAGGCCACAAATTTAGGGTCCCAATATATTTATTCTAGAAAAAAAGGTTCATAGAAGGAACCATGCAAGCAGGATGCTGCTAATACTTGGCACAAAAAGATCCATCCACTATCTGTGCAGGCCACCTTTCTGTCCTTGTATATAGAGTGATTCGACAGAACGATGGAAAATGGATGCAAAAAATGTCACACGTACATGGAGTCTGATGCCTTTTTTAATTCTTTTTGAAGCTTCATCAAATTTCCAAATAATCCATATACATAGTGCCAGCGAGCGGCAGTATGCAAGTCATACATTTAAAACTAATGAGCTGTTTTTAACTTTTGTGTTACAAACACTAATGCTCAAAAGTTTGGGGTCAGTAAGATTTTTTTAATGTTTCATAAAAAGTGTCTAATTCGCACCAAGGCTGCTTTTATTTTATAAAAATACAGTAATTGGAAATATTGTTACAATTTATAATAACTGTTCTCCATTTTAATAGATTTTAAAATATAATTTAGGCCCTATTCCTGTGATGGCAAAGCTGAATTTTCAGCAGCCATTACTTCAGTCTTTAGTGTCACATGATCATTCAGAAATCATTCTAAATGCCGATGTATTATCAGTTGAAAACAGTTGTGCTGCTTAATATGTTTGTGGAAACTAGGGGTGGAACGGTTCGCGGAAAAAAATCGAACCGTACGGTTCTCCACACACGGTTCGGCACATAGGACCGCGGTTCAACTTAAATCTGACAACGCATCTGTAACATGGTTTGCTATAAATAACACGTAAAACAAACAGGGTTCGGCTAATATATGTTTCTGTTGATGGATGCGCATGCTGGCTTCCCAATACATTACAACAACAGTGATGAAAATAAAAACGTGGACAAACCATTCACTCTTGTTCAATGCGACTGCCGTATGCTGGAATATGAGCATTTTTTCCGTCATCACCCGGGTGCTGATAGTGCGCGCGCACAGGTGAGACCTGAACAGCACACGTTGATATCTGTGTTTAAGCTAAACTCGTTTAACCTTTGCCAGTTTAGGCGCGCATGCAGTGAGAAGAATACTTCTCTTAAGTATTGTGTTTAAATGGACAAATTCACCAAAAATTATGTGAAAATGCCCATCTTGGTAAGTATCCTATAGCAGCTAAGTTGAACCGTTCCACCCAAACCATGATCCATTTTTCTTTTTTTTTCAGGATTCTTTGATGAATAGGAAGTTCAACAGAACAGCATTCATTTGAAATGGAAATCTTTTGTAAAAATATAAATGTTTACTGCCACTTTTGATCAATTTAATGCGTCCTTCCTGCAAAAAGTATTAACTCCTTTTATATTGTATAATGAATGGGAGTGTAAATGTGAAACAGCTGTTCTTGCACTGATGCCAGACTTTACATTTATTTGTTAAAAATAACCTTATCTATCTTTTGGTTTGCATCCATCAAATAAAAAAATTATTTAAAAAAAAAATAAAAATAAAGGGACTTTTAAATATTTATGCAAGTCAATATACAGACATTACCACACAGTTACGTATTTTCCAGGTATGTATTTTGGACACACTGCTCACCCCTAACAAGACTTGAATCATAAAATTATGATTAAAAACCCCACTGACAAAATGATCATTTTTAAGGTTGAACACTGTGAGCTACACCTAAATGCAGTACAAACTCAATTCTTTGTAATAATATCTTGCTAACATAATGGCAAACTCATGAACTCAAGTTGACAAAGGCAATTACTTCCCATTAGGGAAGGTCAGAGGTGAATACTGTACACTCTTTCACTGAGATTCACGTCACGAGTTTCACTCCAAACTCATCTGTAACGGTTTCTGCCATCAGTGTCCATGAGGCAGACAAAAGTACACATTACCTCAGCTTACAGAAATGAGAGAGCAGAGCTGAGGGGAAGCTGCTCTAAACCTGGTGAGCTGAGGTGAGGCGTCATTTCACCTAAGAGATGCATCTGGGAAAAGCGGTCTGTCTAATCGGGATACTAGCAGACTGGCATGAGGATCCACTCGTATGGTTCATCCCAGGTTAACACTCACCCGAGGGACAACAAAGCTCTTCCATCCCCGTGCAAGAGGGTAAAACAAAAGTCAAACTGTCAGACATTTCAGTAAGAATTAGACTAGTCTGGATTAGTAAGCACCACTGGTGTGTTATTGTTAGTTCTTGGCACATGTAATGGAACAGAAAATGTGACTACCCACATTTCTGTCAAGCTATCATTCACTTGAGATGGTTACCCAACACCTCCAATACAGATATCAGTTCAGATATCAGTTCAGAAAAGGGAGGAAGAGAAAGCTCATTATACTATTTATAATGTTCTGAATGGAGAAGTAAGTAATATATACTGAGGAGGGAAAAAAACTAAGTAGGAGACTATATGGCAGCATTTTAGAATGAAAAATTATCACCCAAGGTGATAGATGAGAAATGTTATAAGGATTATACAATATGCATTTAATAAAGCAGACATTATTTGTCAAAGTCAAAAGATTAATAAGAAATACAGACCCTATAGGTAAATATCACAAATCCGTCATGAACATTTACATGTCATATTTCACCCCAAATTAACAGAAAGAAAGTACAATTATATTTTATGTAGAGGAAATTGTGTCTATTTAGGACCTTTAAAATTAGTTGCATTGTGACATACACTCTCAGAAAAAAAGGTACAATTTTGTACCAAAGAAGGTACAAACCCTTGTCACTGGGGCAGTACCTTTTAAGGGTACAGAATTGTACCTTAATATAAAGGAACAAATTTTTTGGATAAATTATTTTGTAAATAGGTGGTAAATGGTGTTTAACAAAGCACTCACATCACTTCATAAAATTGAGATTAAACCACACAAGTGAGTGACATGTATTACTCTGACGTCTTTCTTACGGTTCTGAACCTTGAATGTGTAAGTTGCGTTGCTACCAGTGGAGGGACAGAAAGCTTTTGCATTTCATCAAAAATATCTTCATGAAGACGAACTAAGGTCTTATGAGTATGAAACAACATGAGGGTGAGTAATTAAAGGGTTAGTTCACCCAAAAATTAAAATTGGCTTGTGTTTTACTCACCCTCAAAGCATCCTAGGTGTATATGACTTTCTTCTTTCAGACGAATCCAATCTAACGGTTGGAAGAGCAAGGACATTTTTAATATAACTCCGATTACGTAATAAACACTTTTATATCACTTCCGTCAACTGTCATATGCGGAAGGTGTTCCGGCGGATGTTGCAGCACGTCGGCGTTGCGTGATTAGTGACGAATGCGGAGACAACAAAGCAAAACGCCGGTCACGAATTAGAAATACAAACCGAAGATTTGCAAAGAAAAATGTTGGAGGATTTCGATATAAGCCAAGAGGAGACTGGTTTTCCTTTGCT